TGAAAGATCAATGATAGATAGATAGATAGATAGATAGATAGATAGATAGATAGATAGATAGATAGATAGATAGATCTTTCTGAATTATACAACTCAGAAGACATGACAGCCATGACCACCTTCCTGTTTCTTGGAACCAAACACTTGAAGGAGGACCTTTATTAAACCAAGCTATTATATTCAATAATTAAGTAGGTACTTCTTATTGAAATTAACTAATGATACACTAGCAAGCAAGCTATAGCCTGTTTGACATTTTTAGATCCCTTGCTTACTCATTAGTGCTTTGCTTTACTCTGTTATCTGGGTGTGCTTCTATACTTTCCCTAAACATCTTAATAAAATTAACAACCGATTTAAGAAAAGGAGAGTCTCGCATTTCTCCCAGGCACGGAGAATGTAAAACTCAAGTCTGGATTGGCTCAAACTGAGTTTTATAGAAATATAATCTAGACTCTAGAAGATCGCCCTATCTTCCCTCTGTTGAGGTCGTTCTCTCTCTCAGACGAAGTAGGTAATTCATAATAATTAAGTCCTTTGATTAAAAGATATAATTAATGCTCATTAGAAGTCTGTGTACTTTTCTGTTAATGATAAACCTTCTAATGCAATTACCAGGGAACAAATAAAATGAAAGACTGGTTTGATTTATCCAAAGGCCCAGGTAAATTCTTCATTGCAGACACACCCACACCCTGCATGTCTGTGTCTGCAATGGACCAACAGGAATGATCTCCTGCAGGTGAAATTTCTTTTCTGTATATGGCTTGAAAGCCTCAGCCAACCCACATTCAATACATTACTAAAGCCTAAATCTCATGCAGAATTTAATTCTAATTGGAAACCCTTCTTACCCATAATGTTGTATATGGATTTCTGCCACATCTGAAATTTGAGTTCTCTTGTTTATAGAATTATGTATTACATTTATTTGATTCAGTTTAGATGCTGTCCAACTCCAGCCAACTCTGGACAGCTCGCAACAATCAAGTCACGTAAAAACAGCAGAATACAAAAAAATAATCAAAGCAGCTACAAAAATAACTACAAATGAATCACAGGATGGCAATCCAACAACAAAGCTACATAATTGCTTTATATAATTGATACAATTGATCTGTAATTTGATCTATAACTTGCAGCATTTCTCTATCGTTCTGTTAGTGTCTTGCACGGTGTTAACCAAGTATGTTCAGTTTAATGAGCAGGAATAATGACCTGTATCTTAGTTTCTGCTTTCTTAAATGTCTTGCATTTTTCTTTCCTGACACCTTTTTCACTTATATTCTTTCCAAATATTAAATAAAATTAATTAAAAAAAAACATTACTATCAGAAAATTATGGCCTTTGGTTAGTTGGTTGGTTTGATTTACACCCTGCCTTTATTTGTACAACTCAAGGTGGGGTATATAAATATATTCCATAAAATAATTTGGGCATATACTGTACCTTAGATTGTTCTTGATTTATCTTTATAGGAAACTGAAAAAACAAAAATCAGGAATCTGGCAGCACCTTTTCTCACTAACAAATGTAATTAAAAGGCAGAAGCTTCTTGATCTGAATCAAATGTGTTAGTTGGAAAAGGTGCTACGATAGCATATTATTTGCCATCTCCAGTGAATTTTTTTTTTTCCTATAGTGAAACAACAACAAATCACAGAAATCACAGAACACAAAATATACCAGTTTGGAAATCACTGCTCACTCCCAGAATTTTTTTTTCCCCCAACTTCCAGTCTACCCTACCACTGTGGGATATCCTCGAGGTATTCCATCAGTCATCATGGAGAAAATCTATGTGGTTGTTAGGACTTGAAAATGACTTAATAGCACATAATCAATCAATCAATCCCATCAACCCTGGATTAACTCTTAAACAAAATAAACATGTGTTTAGGGCACCAACAGAATTTTTTCCCCTAGTAACTTATGTTGCCTTCAACTCTTTGGGAGTGCGATTAAAAATAGTTTTCAGTAAAAATTCTATTTGCATTTTCCCTTATAATAATGTTAATAAAAATGCATTAGAAGTATTGAAATTTTGGATTTTTTCTGTTGCCCTACTTATAAGGAAATTATTTGCTTATGTTGCTTACTGCTACTTAGTGTGAAACTTAGCTAAACACAGCTAAGATACTGTGCAAAACCCTCAAACCCTCAGATTGACCTCTCACCTCTATGGGTGGTCTGTGTCTTCCTCAATCTTGGGTCCTCTACCTGCGCAGGATCTGAGCTGCTGCTAGCACTGCACTCTTCTGGACAGAGAGCTCGGATGTTGTTTCTGGGATCTGTTGGAGCCCCTCGCCCAGCTCAGGAGTCACAGCCCCGAGTGCTCCTACCTCCACTGGGACCACTTTGGCCTTGACTTTCCACCTAGTTCCCCCTTCAGGCCCTGGTAGTTCTCCAGCTCTCATACTCCTTCTTCCGGATGTTGCTGTCACTTGGCACTGCTACATCTATCACCATCACTGTCTTTTATATATATTTGAAGAAAAATTATATTTAATATAGTTATGCAGTCTGGCCTGGAAGGAAACTGAATTTTTAATCTCTTATTTCACCTTCAGCACTTACTAAGTCTTAATGTCTTATCAGTTAAGCAATGGAATTGCTGAGGGCAACATTGTTGGGCTGTTCTTAGGACATCAGTTGGCTTTAATCTGGCCCTGTATCCCATCCATGTTCTAACGAGACCCAACCCTGCTTTACTTGAGATCCAAACCCAAGCCGAGTTGGTCAGCAGAAGCATCTGAGCAATGCTGTATCTTCGGGGAACAGCTCTTCCATGTTTCCTTATCAGACCAGCATAAAAAGAAGAGTCCCATGTTTGTTTCATCTCTTGCTTTTCCTCTTCTAACTTGTGCCCCCCCGCAAAAAAAAACTGCTTGAACTTCTATGTAGCAAAAGAGGCTGAGTACAAGTCACCTGATGGAGCAGTGCTAATTTACAATGGTACAATACATTATGTTTTATATCCGAAAAAAGTCTTATGCCTAATGTGAGCGCTCTGGCCAGAAGGGTAAAACCGCAGTTTCAGCTGGAAAACTATTAGCATCTTAGACCAAGCCAAGTCCGAAAATGTTAGTGAATTCCTGGGAGCTTGGAATTCAGATAAACCAGCCATCAATAGACACATAGAGTTAACCACATTTCCACACCGTTCAAAAGAGACAATTAAAAAACTAGGAAGGAAGCAAAAAGTCTACAACACATCCTCTCCAGTAACCAACACCCAGATAAGCAGGGATCAACACCAGACAAATAACCAAGCAGAAAACAATACCCTAATCAAGAAACTACCAAGGAGAAAGACACCCCCCACCACCAACACTGGTAGGGCAAGCTACTGTATATAAAAAGGGAGCAAACCCCACACTCACTAGCACTGATGACGTTGCCTAGTTGGGTAATGAAATGTCTGCAAGCAAACCGCCAAGCTCAGCACAAAGGACTTCACAGAGTACAAAAGCTTTAAGGTCACCTATACAGATGTTAAATCTCTGCTGAATTCTCAGTGCAACCCCCTCCAAAAAAGTATAATTTGTAAAAACAAAACAAAAAACAAATATATTTTCTATTTATGTCAAAAGCCAGCTAACTGTGATGGACACCCACCAGTCTCTTCTGAGTTCTGGTCTCTTTTTGATTGGACTTTTAAGAAAATGTTCTGTAAATCAATGGGGCTGTTTTTTCCTGTGAAAGCAGGAAAAACATTGAAGAAATCTTCAGAGTCTAGCAAAGCTCACCCATCAGAGATGTGGAGGGAGGATTTCACCAACGCAATGTGCAAAGGCCAATTATTTCTCTTTATTTATTTACAGGGCTCATAGTGTCTTCTAGTCTGCCACTTCTGTGCAATGCACCATTTCCTAATATGGAACTGGGATTCAATCATGCAGTCCATGAAAAATAGCATCTTAAAAACATCCTTATGGAAGTGGAAATTGCACATAAAAATATTAGCAAAATAAAGCAACTGGTCTTAGGGCCAAGAGATTGCTAAAGACTCCCTGGCTTCATGGAAGAACCAGGTTTTCCCCAGCTTTTTAAAAGCCAGAACAAAAGGGGCTAATCCCACATTGATAGTGGTGGTGGTGGTGGATGACGATGATGATCATCATCATCATCATCATCATCATCATCATCATCATCATCCCAACTCCCAGTGACTCTGGGTGGATTACAATTGTTAAAACATTTAAAAACAAAGGACGATACAAAAAACACAAAAATAACACAAGACATAGGGGAGGGGGCTAGTGTTCATGGTTTTGTATCTGAGTTCTCTTTTTTTACAGTGTTTCTTTTTGTCTCCTGAGACTGATTTCAATCCATTGTGTTGGTGGCTGTAGCAACACTTTCTATCTATCTATCTATCTATCTATCTATCTATCTATCTATCTATCTATCTATCTATCTATCTATCTATCTATTTTCCCAAAAGGAGAATAATTGTCTCTGACTAAATTCTGGAGCTAAAGAATGAGAATTTCCTGTTAAACAGTAGTAAAGTTGTGTTGTTATTGCTATAATTACAGAGCTGAGCTGAATCAATCCTGTTCTATATCTGAATGAGGTTGTGCAGTGAGCCACAATATTTTTTGCATTATGTGTTTCTTTTTGTGTGTCCTGCCTTTCTATATATAATATAATTCGAAGGTGGGGATGAGGGATTACAAACCACAAACTATCAAAAAACGATTTGCAATTTCACAAAGTCAAAGCAAGTATCTGATGTGTATAGAGGAAAATCTACAGAATTTTCTCTAGTGGCGTATCTCTCCACTGGAGAAGGGGTTGGATTAAATGATCTTTCAGATCCCTTCCAATCCTTACATAGTAGGATTCCATGTAATGGATTCCTCCTGGACTAGGCAGTCCTGCACAATCTAAGATTCCTTGAATTTCTGACAGAGGCTAGCTCTCACGCAACGGATTTGGGTCCTTTAAAATCTCTGAGATCAGCATTGTTCCCTGCACTGTCCCTGTATTTTTTTTATAACAACTGTTTTTAATAGAAATTTTCTTGTTTTTCCAGTGACGTCTCTGGAAAGAAGCCTTAAGTCTCTTAGGACAGAAAATGACACACTGGAACTGCGCGATAGCCTGTGAGTCTCTCTCCAAACTCGAGATCGGTTCACGTTGTATGAAGTTGCTTTTAAACTCTGGTGCATGAGAAGCTCCGATGCATGAAACTTTGTCCCTTAAGGTGTTGCTGGGATTTTTTTTTTTTAATTACACATTTTGGGTGGGACTATGTATTTCTTTCTTTGTAGGATGATGGATTGTTCACTTCTCTGAGCCTCCACGTGGTGGAGAATGGAATTCAACGCCGAAGGTGGTCCTGTGCCACAGAAAGTCACTAGGAAGTAGACTGGGCATAAAAGTGCCAATATCTTATGACTTTATATAAATCTTTGGCATTATCTCATTTGGTCAACTAACAAGTAAAGGGGATGCGATTAAAGTATGTAAAATTAGGTGAACTCATAAGCCAACACAGCAAAGATGTGGTTACTGGCGTGTCATACTTTGATTACAGTTCCTATTGCTGTACATGAAAGCACTCTTTAGAGGAGAGCCAGTTGGTCCAAAGCTCAGCATCCAGAATTTTGACTGGAACCCATTTTTGGAAGGATTGGCATGCCTGTTCTGCAACCTTTATTGTCCCTTGGTCTGTTCCTAGACTTAGTACCATCATGGCTCTTTGAAACCCTCAAAGAAGTGGGACCAGGATTTCTAAGAGACTGACTTTTCTCATGTGATACTGCTTTGCTCTCTCAAGCTAGAAGCCTCCAGATGTAGTGGAAATGGGACTTCCAGTATCGTAGTAAACCTGGGCCCACTCAGTTCTTCTCAGTTAGGCTCTTGGCAGTTCAGAAACCAAAGATTGATTGAGATACCAGGGATGGGATTCTGCCAGCCATTCAAACTGGACCAAACTAGGAAACCAAGGTTATGAACACCAGTACTGCTTGTATTATAAGTTTACAGTAACCAAATCTTGCAAGTCTGTATCCACCTTTGTCTTCAGGAGAACTAGGGAGGGGAAAATCTGAGATGTTTTCTCAGATTACAGTCCTATCCCAGACTCAGATTTATTTTATCTGAACATTGTCTTGGTTTGCAGCTCTTCTTCCTGCACTTCAAGGTTATTCCTACAGCCCATTACAGGTTCCAAGAATTCTAGCAACTGAGCTCTTTTCAGTATGAAAACAGTATATTGTCTTGTACACCAGGTTAGAGATTTTCTTGTTTCTAACATCCATCCTGCGATTGGTCAAAGAGGCTGGTCTCCACTGATAATGGGGAAGCTTGCAGCTGGCTGCTTGTGCAAGCATCTCCAGAATCATTATCAGCCTGAGAATGCTGATCTCTTACAAATGCATTGGCAGAGGTCCCCTAGATTGGTAAATAGGATAAGGTTCTCTGAGATGCCAACTTTCAAACTCGTAGCTCGGGAAGTTTGCTTTCCTCACTTCACCCCATCCTCAGTGGATATTTAGGTAGCTAAAGGAAGGAGTTTATATCTTCAGGTATATCTTCAAGATGGAGCACATCAAGGGATTAAATATGGAAGAAGAAGAAAAAGAAAAAGAAGAAGAAGAAGAAGAAGAGGAGGAGGAGGAGGAGGAGGAGGAGGAGGAGGAGGAGGACCAATCTCTTTTTCCAAGGGATGTATATTGTTATTCTTGTGTTAGTGGGTTTTAATGCAATATCATATACCCCCTGTCCATGACCTGATTACATCTGTTTCGTAACAGTGGGAGAGAA